AAATCGGACTTAACTTCCAAGTTCACAGGCATGGCCAATACAATGTTATGCGGAGGGCTAATGATAAGTCTGGACTTGGCCAAAGCATTTGACTCTCTGACTTATCCTGAAATGTACGCCAGCCTTAGAGAGTGTAACGTGCCTGACGAGATTTCCTGGCTTTTGGTCGAGGTTCACCGGCAAACAGTTTGCGACATCAGACATGGTGGCGTAACAGGAAGCACACGCATGCATCGAGGTCTCCGCCAGGGATGCCCCGCTGCGCCTCTCATTTACGCCGCTTGGACTTTTCGGATTAGTCGAAGATTGGATGTCCGTTGGTGCCGTGATCACATGAGTTTCTTCGCCGATGACATCCATGCCTATTGGAAGATTGCGAGCGCTACAAACTTTCACGCGGCTTGCGCTGATATTATGCGTGTTCTTGGGGTATTGAAAGCCAGCCAGATGCAGGTGAACCTCGAGAAATCGAGCGCCGTTCTTCTTCTTCGCGGAACCGAGGCAGGTGCTATCAAAAAGCGTTTTCAGAGCTGGAGCACGGGACAGTACTGGCTTAAAGTAGGTCTTTCATCGGCCCCGAATGTTCCGGACTCATATCTGCCACTCCATGGACAGCTGGATTATCTTGGGGCTACATTGTCCTATACGGCCTTCGAACAGTTGACCTTCGACAAACGCGCCAAACAGGCATGGATCACCTATCACCGCCTTCGACCAGCACTGCGCACGCAGGGGCCTCTGAGTCTGGGTCAGCGCATTCGCATCTTCAAGGTCTTCGTGATGCCCACAATCATGTATGGAATTGCGTTCGTAGGGATCACGCAGCATGTCGCGCGGGGCTTGATTCGCACCTTGTCTCAGATGCTGCGGAAAGTCCTTCGGATACATGAACATGGAGTATCCAATCAAGCAGTTCTGCAGCGAGCCCAGATTTGTCCCGACCGGGTTGTCCAAGATGAGCTCAAGAACAAACAAATTGCCGTCTCCAAAGATACTCTTCGCTGCGCAGCTTTACGTGATGAGGCGGAGCAGCAGATTGCTTGGATAGTCCGGTGGGTTAGTAACTGGTTGCAGTCGTTATGGGGCTTGGACAACAAGATATAAGCACTTAGCCTACATAGCATAAATGGTTATGTAAACTATAAGTAACTGCTTATGTATGTAGTTGTCAAACACTTAAATAACTGATTAGCTAACCGTTTAAGTCACTTAAACATAACTGAATATTGACTTTGATGGTTATCGAAATACCATTAGTGCCTGGTTGCCATTCGTTAAAATGTCAATCTAAATCGAAAACATTTGCCGTCTTGCGAAAGTTTCGCGACAATTTCTAGAAAACATTTACCATGAAATCAAATTAACATTGATGCTAGTCGACAATGCAAGAACCAAGAAAATCACGACCCGGAGTTTGCATGGCAGCCTGTACAGGCTGACAAAGCCAATAAAGGCTGGGCCACCAACCTGCGAAAACTATCTTCATCGCTGCATAATCGGTAAAAGCACCAGCCGATATAGGCTTGTGTGATAGAGCAAGTCTTGCTGAACTCAGACACCGATGTGAGCTATTTAACATTTGAAGCAACCAAAATTCACAGCCAATACAGGCTTTTGCCGCCAAGCCAAACAAGCTGACCTCTGGAGCCGATATAGGCTTTGGTGTTGAAAAACGGGAAGCATGGGTGTGCATGGCAGCTAGCTCACAGCAACAACAACAACAACAACAACAGAACTCGTAACCCAAAGCACTCAACTGTTTCTTCATGTGCGACTCGAGAGAAACAAGCTTCGAGTGTGATACGGCAGCAATGTTCTGCACCCACTTCTGCCTTTGGACCATGTCAAAGCACATCGAATGCTGTTAGCTTGCACGGCATGTATCAAGCTGTCGTCTTCATCATTCCACATCGCCCATGAGCTGTCTTTGGCCACCGACTGCAGCTGGAAGAACTGCACCAAACAGAAAACATGCCTGCACTCGAAATTTCCTCGGAGACGACCACAAATAACACCGTCTTGGACGTTCAACAAAATGACATCTCCCGTGGCAACACTACCACCACCAGCTATTCTGAGGGTGTGGCAAGTATAAGTTTCTGCATCCAAGAACATAGCAGGAATGTGCTTTGCCAAAAGGTCATGCTGTGAGGCTTTCAATTTGGAGCGAGTGGCCAAATGACAGGTAAAATCGAAGCACCCACTTTGCTTGATCTTGTACATTTGTTCGCTCACCACTTCTTCCAGGACAGACTTCTCATAGCACTTGAGATTCTGGATGGGGGTGCCTATCTTCAGGAGCTGTTTGTGTTTCCGTTCACAAGTGAAGCAGCTGATTATGGTTTTGTGAATCTTCAAGGCATCGCCGTAGTGAAGAAGCCAGTGGAATTTCTTCACGAGGAAGCTTTGCCAGCCATTCTCGAGGCACAGCCTCAAGCAGGCTTCGGCAGCCGTGTCTAAATCTGCCGGTCCCACACAACCATACACCACAGAGATCAGCAACTCCAGAAACAAGGCCATGGCCAGCAAAGCTTGAGTGGGCTTGGTGTCTCTTCCAGAAGAGCACACTGTGAGGGCATAGTGAGCCAAAATCGGGAAAACCGTGAGCAGCTCCGAAGCCTGCATCTTGAGCTTTTTACTCTTTCGATGTGCTTTCACACGTTTTGTGTCGAATAAGCTGGCCAAATCGGGACAAGCTTTCTTGCCGAGTGCAGGTAAGTTCCAGACAGCTAGATACTCGCAAAAAGACGACCATGACTGGAAGCCATCCGTCTGCATAGCCTCCAAGAACAGGAAGCCCACGATGGCTGCTGTGCCATTAGCACACACACCATGCATCCAGTCGTGCATGTAGCAACTTATGGGTCGTATGTGGTGGCGAAGAGATTGGGAAGATAAAAGGCCTGAAGTCGAAAAGGTAAACCCAGCAGCTTTCTCTCGTAAAGCAAAAGCTTGAGTTGAGTCTGTTGTGAAACGGGCAGCCAACCGATCCCATGACTGAAAAACTTCTTCATCATTGACCAAGCGAAGCTGTGACTTTTTTGTCAGGGAACAAACTCCATGGTCAGAGTCATCAGCATCATCACCAGAATCTTCGGCAGTTGCTTTCAAAGATATAGCATTGGCGCACTTGATACAAAAGCGACACCCCCCGTCTCCTTTCAAGCCCAGGCAGAACTTTTGGGCCTGACCGTCTTGTACTAGGATCTGCATAGAGTAATAAAGGCGAATCGCTTGTTTGCCATCTGCAGGCTGTAGCAAAATGCCCAAGCCAACGGGGTCGGCGATATTGTTGCAGAAAACATGTTCCTAGAACAGGGCAACATGTTGACACAGAAGCCTTTAAAGGCTGGGGTTAACCTATGTACAGATAAGCAACAAGCCTGTACAGGCTCTGTGCATGCACGAACAGTATGCGAGACAAGTGACGAGAACAACTCTCAGAGCCTGCCCCATGCTTCCAGCCAAAGAGCCAATGAAATTGCTTTTTTGAAAAAGCAATGGAAACCAGGCATCTTCTCGTGCCAATGCTGCTTCCCCGAGTTCCTTCCAGGTCACATATATGCACCAGCTCTTCTTGTTCGACTTTGCAGACAGGGCGTTGCCCGGCCAACACTCATCACAATATACAGTGAGGGCCCAAGGTTTCAACACGGAGGACGGGTTCTGCTCATGCTTATCCGCCAAAAGATCAGCAAAGCTTCCACCTTCACGATAAGCAGCATGCAACATGCTGTGGAGGTTGATGTGCATCATCTCATGATGCGAACCCTCACAATCCACCACCCTGCTCGTTGTCAGCAAATCACCATAAGCATTCCACCTCGCGATGTCCGCCCGGGTAGCTTGCAACATCGCCTTCGTGGTATGTCTCTCTGGATGCCCTTTGCTCTCGATGTCTTTCAATATACCTTCCAGGGCAACCTTGGACACATAGGGGACACTTCGCCGAAGTTCGTGCAGCCTTTGAAACTTACTGGGTCTCGCATCGGACGACATCGAGAGGATGTGCAAATCTAAAATTTCAAGTGTGTATATACATATTTATACCTGTATGTGTATATGTGTACGTATTTATAAATATACTTGTATGTATACATGTGTAGATGTACACACACATGCATACACACATATGTCCCTACATGCCGTACATACATACATACATACATA